TCGAGCCCAGTACGGGCTCTGCTGGCCGTTTCCGGCTAATGAGCTAGCTGACAGATTTTGCCCAACCGACAGCTTGCGTTAGCTGATTATTCAGCCTCCCAACAAACTTTTAGCACATATTTTTGATAAGCAAACCTATCACAAGGAAAACCAAGGAACTGGGAACGGTAACACCAAGATTTTGATTACCAAACCTGCCCTGTTCTGCTCAACATCACTAGTTTCTGGTAAGAGAACAGAGGTCAAAAAGTTTTAGAACTTGAAGGTACAGGCATCTGAAAGTTATTTTGTCTTCTAACTCGTTTCAAAACCGTAAAAGGATTTTAATTGTTTTGAGATTTAAAATCGTCTCTCACTGAGATTATCAAAAACTGTAAATGTAATCGAAAGAAGCATACCTCGCAAATAATTTCAAGCGTTTCTCCATTAGCAGCAATAATTTCCTCACTTAAGCTTACAGAAGGTGGTCCTTTGATATGCAAATAATTGACCAGACGAGCTGGCCGAAAGCCTTCAACTACTGCGACACATTCATACTCGCCACGTTGCCAACTTTGAACTGATTTTATTGTTAAACTGAAATTTTGACAGATAGTGAAGACCTACGCCGCATTCCAGAAATAATTATCCAAAATCAAGACAACTTTCCACCCGTGTATGTGGAAGGAATGTATTCATTAGTGATGATCCAGGACTATTGCAGTGGGAATGGATAAGAATATTAAAGCGAGGAAATTCTTGGGATGTGGTTGGAAAACGCGAATGAGCCAATTTCTCAGATTAAGCCAACTTCGACGGACTGCGATTCAGTTAGTTTTTTAGCACCTCAACAAACAGTTTTTTATACCAGTGGAACAGCAAGAGACCCATGAAGAATTTTCTTTAACAACATTTCAGTTCAAAACAATTTTCTAACAATTAACAAACCCTACACGGCAAAAACCCAAACTCTCCAGAGCAAAAGCCTGAGCTTGCTTAGTCACCGAATTGAAATATTTGGACAGACGAACTCACACATACATACTTACATCACATGAACACGCACACACACACACATATATATGTATACACACACACACGAATATACACAGATAGAGACGTCATCATATCGCAAAATCCCTCTATTACAAAAACTCATTATAAAAGTGTGAACTAACTTGCTTCCGCGGGCGAGAATTTGATTATCGCCTAATTTAGTCCAATATATTTTTGGAGCTGGATTACCAACAGCTTCGCAATAAAATGTTGCAGTCTCGCCTGGATTTACTGCTTGATGCTGCTCACCAGTTATTATGTAGGCACCATCTGCAATTTATTTCGACTCATTTATTTAGCACCATAGCCACGCACAAAATTGTCAGTCTGAAATTCAGCAATTAAAGCCAACTTTTTTCCCCATCTGCCTCTTGGGAGGTGAAAAAATGAAATAACGAGCAGTAAGGCAATCAGGATAAATGGAAATTGGACAGATGCAAATGACAAACATTAATAATATAATTTGTTTTGAAAAGTGCAAAAAAAAGTAAAACTAAGATGATGTAATACTTCATAATAAGCGATTACATGTAACATTGAGAACGATGGAATTGGAAGATTCGCCGATTATGTTCTTCGCAACGCACGTGTACCGCGAGTGATGATGTTCTATCCTGAGCTCAGGAAGTGATAATGTCTGTAATCATTGAATTTCTTTATCATGAGATCAACTGTACCTTTTCAATATTTCGGAAGCCAGCAAAAATTGTAACTCCGTTATATTCTTTTTTTTTTTCAGTTAGAGATGACGAAACAAAGGTTGTTAATTTCAAGACAATCCAGTACACTTTCGGGAAAATTCGGCCATAAATGTAACCCTCATTTAGTTCTTTTAAGTTAACCTAATTGTCGGAAACGCAATTGAATTTGCTATTCTAGCGGAATTATATTCGGAATAGCTAAAAAGAAAATGGTGAATGAAGTCAGGCGCAATTTATTGCGTAGGAAGAATCACTAGATCTGATGATTTCAATGAAAATTTATTTTCTGCTCTGTTTAAAAATTAGTGGTGTAGATCAGGAGCCTATAAGGTATGGCTCGATTAAGTGCTGCTCCTAGCTAGACTAGTAAAGCAGAGTTTTAGCAATACGAATCCAGACAGTCCAAGGAGTTCGATTTAAGTGTTTAACAAGCAGTTATGTGTA